TCCCTCCTAGATTGTAAGCTCCAAGGATCAGGGCCCTCGAATCCCTCTTGTATTGAATTGTACTGTTACTGTACTGTCTCCCACCATAATGTAAAGCGCTGAGCAAACTGTCGATGCTATATAAATCCTGTATAATAATAATAAATAATAACATATCTTTGCTGTGTTATCCTTTCACCATAGAGGAGCACTGCAGTCCTTCTATATGAGAAATACCAGGTCAATCTGAAGTAGTTGCCAGTTCTTTTTTTTTCAAGCCACAGCATTCCTTTCTTTAATCTCCATATTCCGGAGTTTTTTGACCAACCATCAGATCCCAAGACTCTAGATTCTGAAACTGAAATGAACAATCACTCTCCCTCGTGATTGGGGAAAAATTGGAGAAAAGTCTATCCAATCAATACAGAGAGAGTCTCTTAAAGTGAAACTGCACTGCCTATGAGCACCACAAACCAGAAGTGCTTTTTAATTAATTTTTAATATCCAAAGCAAACTCCCCCATCCATCCATGTCTCCATGCTTTATTGTGCCTTTTTTCGGCTTGAAAAATACTTCCTAGCATTTTGGACATGGCCATCGTAAGTATGGGCAGATGATTCATATAGCATTTACTTTGGAATCCATTTGCCCTTAGCTCAGGCATGCATACAGGAGGGTGTTCTTTGCAGAGAAAGCCCATCCTGAAGACTCATGGGATGTATGGCATCATTCACTTAGTCCAGAAACCAGGAAGTAACTGGAGAAATGTAAAAAAAAAAAAAAAGGTTAAAAACAGTAAATATAATATACTTCCCCATCTATTTACTAATGCTAGGGATTACAAATAGTCAATGTTGATTCAGAGAGTGAAGTTGCCGTTTAAATACCCACTGACAAGCAGGACTAGTCAACATAGAAGACAGCAAGCAAAGAAAAGGTATAAGAAACCCTGACATTTTCTAATAATCTCTACACAGGGTTTATGCATCATATCAACTGTGTAATCAGGATGGAAAAATAGGCCAGTATCCTTTTATCTTAGCCCTGTGTTGTACGGTGTGCTTCTAGTTAAGAAGTGGTTAATTACTGAGTGGTCTTTAAAAAGATAATTGTGTTTCCTACTGCTAGAAATCAGCCATGTGTAGCGTTTCCTCAATATTTGCTCACCCAAACCATTGTTCCCTGTCAATATAGATTATTGTGTTTAAACTGCAGCTTCCGTGATGGATCCAAGATAACAAGCTAAAGGAATGGTGTCTCACACCACTAATACATACCTTGAGAAATATATATATATATAATATACACAAAAACATTGACCTTTACACTTTATTATTTTCAGGCAACCTATTTCAGATCAATGTCTGGGTAAATTTTCCTTACAAAGGAACCTTAATTATTGGTATTGGGGCATGTTTGAAAATGTTTGACCTTTAAGATGAGCAGAATGCCAAGTACGCATTATTCTGTATTCAACCTTTGCTCTCCTCTATAGCCTAATGTACCTATGTCACCCCTGTAATACCTACCAGACAACAGGGTTGATTAACTAAAACTGGAGAATGTAAAATCTGGTGAAGCTCTGCACAGAAACCAATCAACTTCCAGGTTTTATTGTCAAAGCTTACATGAAAAAGCTGAAGTTAGAAGCTGATTGGCTACCATGCACAGCTGCACCAGATTTTGCACTCTCCAGTTTTAGTAAATCAACCCCATTGTCTACAGCCATCCCCCACCTCTGGTCTATAAGCTCAACTGCAGAGAAGATAGGTATTTGTATGTAGGAAGTGTAGCACCCTCCTGGTTGGCTAGGGTGAGCTAAATAATAATTTTTTTTTTAGTTAGAGGCTTAATAGCAGCTTGTGCAATGGTCAGAGGGTCAAATTTGTGTCAGGGCTGAGAGGCTCTGCAGATCAGCTGTCTGAAACCTCCCCCTGATCTAGAGACTTGGATAAAGGGTGAGGAGGAGCTATCCAGCTGGTCTGCACTCCTAGGGGATCCTGGACAATCCCCAAGCATGAGGTCAGGGCAGTCCTTAAGTGACCGACCTGCTCAGTAGCAGGAGAGTTCAGGTGGAAGATATGAGGGCAGGAGCTGGAGAGCTGAAGAGCTGGAGAGTGGAGCCTGGGAGGAGGCCCACCTACAGGAGACTTGCTAACAGAAGGAAAGCTGGACCTCGCTGGCCCCCTGACCATCTGTTGAGCTAAAGAAGGAGATAGCCCAGCAGAAGGCCTGAAAGCAGCTACTTACCTGCAGCCTACAGAAGAGGGACAGTGAGAAATGACTACACCCCCTGGACAGGAATAGGGGAGAAGGGATTTGGACTGTGCTTTTTAAAGAGTCAGACTCTAGATCCCCTTGTCCAGGGATTTCTACACCAAGAGAGGCTGGCTAGCTCTCCAAGAAGAGAAGAAAACCCATCTGAGCACTTGTAAATAGCTTCAGGGAGTTTCCTTGGGCATCCCATACACCCCTCAACCCCATCCAAGTTCAATATCCCTTAAAAAAAATCCCAAAAACAAGCTCAAGGACTGTTTACTGTCTCCTGTGTACAAGGTCTGAAAGGAATGCATGTTTCCTGGCTGTGCAGTACTATAGGGGGATCCAAATCTCTAGCGACACCTGAGGTAAGGGGGTAGTGCTACAGAAGTATTACTAATTGTCTGCAAAAGTGAAAGTACCCAATTATTAGCATTCCTTTCAAAGATGCCATCTTGTTCCTGGTTGAGGGTAAAATGTAATACCTGGATAGGAGGCACAACAAGCACATAGCAGCTGTTGGGTAAGTACTGCAGGAGTGCGTTAAACATATTAACCACCTGAGTACTATCCTGTATATACCCCATCATTACTAGGCAGTTTTTTCAGAGCTGTGAAGGTTTGATTGACAACAACTCAGTCAATGTACTCAAATTAATTTTACATAATGTTTTGAGACAGATAGAACTAATAATATTGAAAAAAAAAAATAGTTGATATTTTGACAGTCTATCACATTTCTGAAAGAGGAGGTTCACTCTGTAAAATAATAAATACATAAATAAAAGGACGCTTACCAGTCCTCACCCAGGCTAGTTATTCACTAACCCTCGGGTTCCTGGCACTGGTATCCTAACTATGGGAAACCAACTGTTAGGAATGGACTGGCCAGCAATGGTGGGACTCACCTGCCTTTTGATCTGCAGTACCAGGGCTGGCCAGCGGGTGTTCCCAGCAATCAGAGACTCAACTTTGCAGCCAGCTAACACCTGTAACTGATGATGCTGGGGTATTTAAGGGATGGCCAGACCCACAGACTCTGCCTTGGTGTTGTGTTTGTCCTGGGCCCTGTATCTGTCCTGCATCCTGTTTCTGTTCCTTTGCTGACTTCTCCTGCTCTGATCCTGGCTTGTGACCCTGACCATCCCTCTGTCTGACCCTCTGTACTACGCTGCTTGCTACCTGTTCTGATCCCTGGCTTGTGACCCGGACCATCCCTCTGCCTGACCCTCTGTACTATGCTGCTTGCTACCTGCTGAACCTGGCCTGTGACCCCGACCATTCTCTGCTTGCTCCCCCTGTACCTACCTGCCCAATTGATATTGACCCGGCTGCCTGACGACGCTTGCTTGTATGTACTGTTATCTGTGGGTGGTTGGTTGGTTTGTTTGCACTGTATTATGTTTTAGTATTGCACTGCGTTTATGTTTGTACTGTTAGTGTTAATAAATTATATTGTTTATAACATATCTGAGGTCTGCGTTTCCCTGCGTCAGTCACACACCTCTGGTCATACCTGGGAGCCCTGACATTACACCAAGGCCAATCCTGACCAGAAGTGGCTGCACAGGGAAGCCATCTTGGCTTGTTGATGGGAAGGATGGATCTTGATGAGGTTGAGTATTTATATCTGCTAGTGTTTGATGACAGGGAGTATGCTTATCAAACTCTGAAGGAGTATACCCGGGATGAATTGCTAGAATGTATACGGCTCGCTCATGTTCTAGTAGATCAGGGCACAGTGGTTCTCTGAGGTGCAGCCATTGATTGAGGTTTGTGCTGAGTTGGTTTCATCTGGTTCCCCCGAATGCAGGGATGAATTTTTGCCACCATTTAGTGCAGACCAGGTAGAGTCCCTGGTGTGGTTATTAGAGGATGATGTGGGTTACTTTCTGGAGCGTTATTCCACATGTTCACCACAGATACTGAGAGATTGTATAAACGCAGTACAGTCATTGACCAGACAGGCTTTGTGTAAGCTCAGCTTTGTTCAACCCATACTGCAGACATGGACAGATTTGTTGCACCCAGCCTCAGTCAGCTTACAAAAACCCAGTCCTGCTTCTAACTCTACTCCTGTATTCCCACCAGCTCCTCCAGTTACAGCCCAGTATACTTGGCTATCTACCGCATGTCAGTACCCTGTTCCCACTCGCTGCACCTATCCTGCCTTTAACCCTGTAAAAAAGCCCTCTGTAGCAACTGCTCCTCCCTCTCCTGTTCCATCCTCCAGTTCTTCTCTGTCTCCAGCTGCTCCATTCGTTTGCAGACCTGCGTTTACTTGCAGTGCTCCAGTAGTTAAAACCAGAAAAAAGCGAAAATTCTTTCCAACCAATACCATCCTGCCAGTATCCAAACCGGTGAGCCTGCCTTCCGTGGTTCAGACTGATGCCTGTACGCAGCCTGATGCCTCTACTCGGCCTGAAGCCTCTCCTCGGCCTGAAGCCTCTACTCGGCCTGAAGCCTCTACTCGGCCTGATGCCTCTACTCGGCCTGATGCCCTCTACTCGGCCTGAAGCCTCTACGCGGCCTGAAGCCTCTACGCGGCCTGAAGCCTCTACTCGGCCTGATGCCTCTACTCGGCCTGATGCCTCTACTCGGCCTGAAGCCTCTACTCGGCCTAATGCCTCTACCCAGCATGATGAACTGATCCAGCCTGACGATCCTATTAGGCCAGTTCTCGATGCCCGCTGTTGATCCAGATGATCCGGTACCTGATCCGGTGCCCGCTGTCGTGCCAATTGACTCAGAGCCCGCTGTCGTACCTGGTGACTCGGTGCCCACTGCCTTGCCAGATGACGCGGTGCCCGCTGGCAAGCCAAATGACCTGATGCCTGGTGACCTAGTGTCCGCTGTCATACCTGATGACCCGATGCCCGCTGTCGAGCCAGACAATCGGTACCTGATGACCCGGTGCCCACTGTCGTGCCAGTTGACTCGGAGCCCACTGCCTTGCCAGATGACGCGGTGCTCGCTGTCGAGCCAAATGACTTGATGCCTGGTGACCCGATGCCCGCTGTCCAGTCAGACGATCCAATGTCTGACCCAGTGCCCGCGGTCATACCAGTTGACTCGGAGCCCACTGCCTTGCCAGATGACGCGGTGCCCGCGGTCGAGCCAAATGACCTGATGCCTGGTGACCCGATGCCCGTGTCCGGTCAGACGATCCAATGTCTGACCCAGTGCCCGCGGTCATACCTGTTGACTCGGAGCCCACTGTCGTGCCTGGTGACTCGGTGCCCGCCGCTCCGCCTGGGGGCCCGAGACCTGTTGCTCCGCTTGGGGGTCCAGCGCCCGCCGCTCCGCCTGGGGATCCGGCGCCCGCCGCCCCGCCTGGGGGCCTGAGACCTGTCGCTCCGCCTGAGGGCCCGAGACTTGTCGCTCCGCCTGGGGGTCCGGCACCTGCCACTCCGCTTGAGGGCCCGAGACCTGTCGCTCCTCCTGGGGGTCCGGCGCCCGCCGCTCCGCCTGAGGGCCCGAGACCTGTCGCTCCACCTGGGGGTCCGGCGCCCGCCGCTCCGCCTGAGGGCCCGAGACCTGTCGCTCCATCTGGGGGTCCGGCGCCCGCCGCTCCGCCTGAGGGCCCGAGACCTGTCACTCCTCCTGGGGGTCCGGCGCCCGCCGCTCCGCCTGAGGGCCCGAGACCTGTCGCTCCGCCTGGGGGTCCGGCGCCCGCCGCTCCGCCTGAGGGCCCGAGGCCTGTCGCTCCGCCTGGGGGTCCGAGACCTGCCGCTCCGCCTGAGGGCCCGAGACCTGTCGCTCCACCTGGGGGTCCGGCGCCCGCCGCTCCGCCTGAGGGCCCGAGACCTGTCGCTCCATCTGGAGGTCCGGCGCCCGCCGCTCCGCCTGAGGGCCCGAGACCTGTCGCTCCGCCTGGGGGTCCGGCGCCCGCCGCTCCGCCTGAGGGCCCGAGACCTGTCGCTCCGCCTGGGGGTCCGGCGCCCGCCGCTCCGCCTGGGGGTCCGGCGCCCGCCGCTCCGCCTGGGGGCACGATGCCTGTCGCCCCACTGGGGGGCACGATGCCTGTCGCCCCGCCTGGGGGCACGATGCCTGTCGCCCCGCCTGGGGGCCCGATGCCTGTCGCCCCGCCTGGGGGCCCGATGCCTGTGTCGCCCCGCCTGGGGGCACGGTGCCTGTCGCCCCGCCTGGGGGCACGATGCCTGTCGCCCCGCCTGGGGGCCCGATGCCTGTCGCCCCTCCTGGGGGCCCGATGCCTGTCGCCCCGCCTGGGGGCACGGTGCCTGTCGCGCCCGCCTGGGGGCACGGTGCCTGTCGCCCCGCCCGGGGGCACGGTGCCTGGCGCCCCGCCCGGGGGCCCGGTGCCTGGCGCCCCGCCCGGGGGCCCGGTGCCTGGCGCCCCGCCCGGGGGCCCGGTGCCTGGCGCCCCGCCCGGGGGCCCGGTGCCTGGCGCCCCGCCCGGGGGCCCGGTGCCTGCTGCTCCGCCGGGGGCCCGGTGCCTGCTGCTCCGCCCGGGGGCCCGGTGCCTGCTGCTCCGCCCGGGGGCCCGGTGCCTGCTGCTGCGCCCGGGGGCCCGGTGCCTGCTGCTCCGCCTGGTGGCCCCCGCTGCCTGCTGCTGCTCGCCTGGTAATCCGATGTGCCTCTGCCCGGAGTCCTGCCCGATGTGCCTCTGCCCGGAGTCCTGCCCGATGTGGCCTCTGCCCGATGTGCCTCTGCCCGGTGTGCCTCTGCCCGGAGTCCTGCCGATGTGCCTCTGCCCGGAGTCCTGCCCGATGTGCCTCTGCCCGGTGTGCCTCTGCTCGATGTGCCTCTGCCCGGAGTCCAGCCCGGTGTGCCGCTGCCGGAATCCTGCCCGGTGTGCCAGTCTTTGATATCCCGCCAGTTGCCAGACCCGGGCGGTGGAACATTTTGCCCAGCTAGGACTGTTTGGAGCGTCCTGAGGCCGCTCCTTGAGGGGGGGGTACTGTTAGGAATGGACTGGCCAGCAATGGTGTGGGACTCACCTGCCTTTTGATCTGCAGTACCAGGGCTGGCCAGCGGGTGTTCCCAGCAATCAGAGACTCAACTTTGCAGCCAGCTAACACCTGTAACTGATGATGCTGGGGTATTTAAGGGATGGCCAGACCCACAGACTCTGCCTTGGTGTTGTGTTTGTCCTGGGCCCTGTATCTGTCCTGCATCCTGTTTCTGTTCCTTTGCTGACTTCTCCTGCTCTGATCCTGGCTTGTGACCCTGACCATCCCTCTGTCTGACCCTCTGTACTACGCTGCTTGCTACCTGTTCTGATCCCTGGCTTGTGACCCGGACCATCCCTCTGCCTGACCCTCTGTACTATGCTGCTTGCTACCTGCTGAACCTGGCCTGTGACCCCGACCATTCTCTGCTTGCTCCCCCTGTACCTACCTGCCCAATTGATATTGACCCGGCCTGCCTGACGACGCTTGCTTGTATGTACTGTTATCTGTGGGTGGTTGGTTGGTTTGTTTGCACTGTATTATGTTTTAGTATTGCACTGCGTTTATGTTTGTACTGTTAGTGTTAATAAATTATATTGTTTATAACATATCTGAGGTCTGCGTTTCCCTGCTTCAGTCACACAACACCTCTGGTCATACCTGGGAGCCCTGACACCAACTATGCAGCTTTTGGCTTCACCGTCGGCTGCCCACTGCGCATGCGTGAGCCACACTGTGCTTTGCGAATGGTCCCACAGTCTTATGGAACCTGTCACATGTCCCAGAAGACTGCGGGGAGGTAGAGGGGGGAGGAGAACTAGGTACCCGCTCCCCCAAAAAAAAGAATTACATGCTAAACGTTGCAGAGGAGGAGGGAAGGAGGATTTAAGTGAAACTTCCCATTTTGGGTAGAGTTCCACATTAAGACCTTAAAATGCCAGGAGAGTAGAAACACTCCAAAAATCACCCCTTTTTGAAAAGCACATACCTAAAAAATGTGAACTACCAATCACACCGCCCAGTCATAGGTACACTCCTACTCAACAACAATCAATTAATATTCGGCTCTCCCTCTTTCTAGCATAAGATCTCTGGTCTTCCCCTCAATATCTGTGGGTGGGTGCTGTGGACAGTGTGGTGCTGGCAGTATCTGGCGGACAAGATTGGAAGCAGTGGCAGAAGGGGAGGGTTAGTTTACATTTTGAATTTTCACTTGTGATTGGTTCACAGTGATCACAAGGCACCAGGCCACACTGGCTGCCTCTGTACATTTTGCATGTGATCTCTGTATTCGTATTTGAAATATATATATATATATATATATATATATATATATACACATACGTATATATATATATATATATATATACACACACACACACACACACATATACATATACACACACACACACATCATACTAATAATTTGCTAGATCAGCATAGCCAGCATAGATAGCATATGCATGTGCCTATCTGTATAGCTTGGTATTGTTTTATTTTTTCTGTAACTGTATTTTGATTGAAAAATAATTTCTATATAGTAAAAGTATTTCAATATTCTCCAAATCTGTTTCCTTGGACTTACTGCAAGAATTAAAGGCAAAAAGTTGATAATCACTACAGGATGAGATCTTCCCTATGAGGATACAGACACAAATTTTTTTTTTTTTTGCTTGAGTTTGCATTTAAACAGCAGAAAGCAGCCCCTTTTTGAGATGCCTGTGGGGTTCTTAGACAGGAAGGTGCAACCAGGGCTTACAAATCCATTAAAGAGACTTACAAGGCTGGGCTGTACAAAGCTGAAGAAAACTGAGCAGCTTCAAGCTTTGTTGACCTCGGAGCTTCTCCGTGGTGCTGTTAGAACAGATGATTGGCAGGGTTTGTGAGCAGGGAGATAGCTGATCAGCGAGCGGGCACATGGGCTGGTTTTCCTCTTTCAGTCTGACAGTAGAAAAGCTGTTTAAGCCCTATATGGTTTGACACAGAGAGGATGCCCAGCATTTATCATATTGGCAAAATACAAGCTATAAAAGATGGGGAGCAGATGTTACCATAAAAGCAGCCAACACAGATAAATAGCAATTCATTCTGCAACAGATGAAACCAATCACAATTCATAGAAACCTCAGTGATATTCATCTGAGCAGTTACAAGCAGAATATTTCACAATTAGGCTGCTTAAGCTAATGCACTTCCCACTTAACTAGATTTGACTGAAACAATTGCAAGTGAGGTCTAAACTTTTCTTTGCCTAATGATTCACTGATAAACACATACAGTATGGACTTACGATTATTCGGAAAATGATTCAGATAAATGCAAAGAGCAATGACAGAGCTCTGAGCGGTCCCTTATACTTTTGGAACCTACTGTCAAGTTTTCTTTTTTTTTTTCTAGGTGGGGGGGTGGGGTCTGATTAATAGACCCCAATAAGAGAATGTACTGTTTAATTTAAAAAAAAAACATAGAATATTGACCTAAATCCTTTATGCAAGCTCTGAAGCAGGCATGTTCAACCTATTGTACTGAACTCCCAGTTACCAGCTGATCATCCTCACTCCATGGCTGTCATACTTTCTCTGGCTATTAGCTGATTGATTTCAACAGGCTGCACCAGTGTCATCCATTTTCTCACAGCTTTTGCATGTATTACCTTCCAGTGCCTTACCATCATTACTGCATCCATTCATCTGGCTCTGGTCACACAAGAGGTTAATTATACCATGTATTGCATGGACTTTGAGGCTTTTGCCCTCTACAGTGACTTTATACCTTGTTATCCTCTTTGGCCAGCGACCATGGCCACACTGACCTTTGCATATTTCTATATATACTTATGCTATATGTTTATGCATTGATGTCTGTTGTTTAGCTGTGTTATATATCTGTATGGTTGGGACTTCCAGGAGCTCCTGCTGTGTGCAGTAGGCTTATTCTCCATCTAGTGGGTGTTGGGGGGTTGGGGGTGTCAGTGGGCTGGTATTATCTCCCTCAGCTCCTCTCTCTCCTTTGTGAGGGGGGTTGCAGGATGTGAGGGTCCTCCATCTAGGGGAGGGGTTTCTTGTGCGTCCATGTGGGGGTATTGGGGGGTTGATAGGGTTGGTGGGGTGGGTTGTGTCAGGGGTTGGGTGTTGGAGGGTTGGGTCAGTTTGGTCTCAGTGGACCGACTTTATCCTTGGTCCATCCTTGAGAGTTCCCTCTTGATATCTTGGAGGTAGAGTACTCTGTCATGCAGAAGTATCATGTCTCCGATAGCCTATTACTGTTTATGGTGCATAATAGATTTATTTTGAGGTTAGCCTTTTAGGTGTGCAGCCTTTTTTCTTCCTCTTTTTGTTTTTTGCAGGGTTTTGAGGAACCCTGGGGGTTCCTCCAGAGGTTACTAGCTCCTTGAATTGACTAGGCTCCTTGAATTGGTTGTTTGACTTCACCTTTAATGGTAATTGCATAGGTCTGGACCCAACTTGGCAAAGCCAGCTGCCTGCTACCAATGATCATTTTAACTGTCTGTAAGGTTGCCATTCTGACAACCACGTTAAGGGGGCTTTCTTCCCACCGGCCACCAATGTAAGGGGCATTTTTACCCTCAATCTCCAATAAACTGGTTTTAGAATGGATTCTCTGAGACCTGAACATTATTTCAAGGGTTGAGAAAGGCTTCTCAAGTAATCAATTTGTTGTTTTGAAACAGCAAAAGGTGGTGACCCTACGTCTACGTTGGGTGTGCTTTAGCGGAGACATGTAGACTGAGGCCGCTCCAAACTCTTTGGCTGCACGGGCTGGATGGGAGAGTGGTGATCTCTTTCGCACACGTGAAAAAAGTTTAACAAATCCCATTTTTTTGTATTCATACTTCCTTATCCACATAATTAGGGACAGTCCTTAGCCTACATACTGTGTGCTATAATGTGTCTTTCTCTCCTATGTTATAAAGCTGGTAGTCATGCAATGACAGTGTGCAAAATGCAAGCCCATAACCAACCATATTTCACTTATATCTAGTCATATGACCTAGGAGATTATTTCTCCTTGG